ATATAGAGGTGCCATAATCATACATTTTCGGACCTAAGCCCCAACCATGGTAGGACTACACCCTCCACTGTTAGAGTCCCTCCCTGAGCCCCCACTACTTCGAATTCCTGAATGCGCCACTGAATATGACTTTCAGTTGTTGCTTTCTCGATATTACTACCGCTTCTTATGCCTACTGAATATTATTGACATCCTCCGTTTAATTTTCATGAACATATTGAAATATACCGGTACGCGCTGAGAAATTGAGAAATTTCAACGTTTTAAGAGTCACTGGCCTAACATTAGATTTAGAATGCGCCTGTAACATTACTGTACTATATTTAAAAACCTATGACCTCTCAATTAATGTAGAATGATGAATGCGCAGAAACATGTATTTAACAATGACGTTTTCACTTTTTCCCAAGTTACTGTATTCATATATCCTGATATTGCCTTATGTATGTTGTTCTTATATAATCATGTCGCTAGCACTGCAGCATTCTCGAGACATTCATAGGGTATTTAAATAATAATACATAATACGTAGTACAATAAAGATGAGGCGTTAAGGTCTAAACAAAAAGTACATCATCATATATTTGGAACAGTAACAATATGGATGTCTAATACAGTGGCTATTATTGTTGGCCTGTTGGTTTATATCCGTGTAATATTTACAGTAGGCCTATGTCGTATTTTTCCCCAGATGCGGAGATTTCAGTCGAAGAATTTTTGAAATATAAACGAAATGTTATTAAGGAAACCGAAGGACGTGAAATGACAGCAGACGAAGAGGACGATGAGCTTGTGTTGTTTCGTGCCATCGATACCGACATGACCGGGTCACTAACTTGGTGGGAGTTTTTGAACCATGAATCCATCCGACATTTAGCTTCACTATCAAAGGTAACCTCATATCAATGTTTTCACGTTTTCTAGTAATAATCTTATCAAGTAGGCATTTTAGCATTATAGTAGGTCTGGAATATACGACAGTTATGAATATACCATAAGATCGTTCTTCACTTTTTTTTCCGGAAACTACTGAAAATAAGTTGTCCATGCATCCATTCTTTGTCTAAACAGGCAAATTTCGTTTTTGATAGGCCTATCTTTATTATATTTGTATGTCATTGTTATTTTATATTGCATTTTATTGTATTTGAACGGATGCTGAATAAATGAAGTAAAGAAAAAGTAACGAATACATACGCTCCACATTTAGGGAGTAGGGCGATGTAATGCTAAGCCGGGCATTCACTGCGTCGTACGACGCGAAGGCCTACGAGTCACGGCCCCAACTTCGCTGCTTTTGACGGTTAGACGACGCTACGCCGTCTGCTGTTTGGCGGTAGCAGATCGTCATTTAAAAACGATTTGCGCGAGCGTCGTCGAGTTGCGCTCTGCGTAGTTTCGCGTCGGCCGACGACTGTCGGACTGATGAGTGGTCGACTTAAGTCGTTGAATTCCGTCTGCACACAAATCTAAACAAGTTTTATGATTTCTTTTTTTATTATTTCCAATTATTAGTTACATTTGGTTAAACTGCTTTCACAAAAGGAAATTCAACGCGCAAGAGAAACATTCCATGCCTTTGACACCGATGGGGATGGTACCATAACAGATTATGAGGCTAAACGGGCTTACAAAAGATGGTACTCCAACTTCATCAGTGACCCGGAAGACATGGTACCAAGACAGAAGTAAGTCGGGAGCCGCTGACTTAACAGGCGTAAATAATTAATATTTGATAATAAGTATGATAATGATAAGAATAATAATCATATTTCTCATGTGTGGTTGCGTCAGGAAAAAAAAACACAGGAGTGATGTTTTTTCTACCTGATGTGTTATCGTACTGAATACACACTCTGGGGTTCACATCAACTGCAACGCTAGCAATAATAGGCTTAATAATAGTAGGGATGATTGATTGATTGATGATGATGATGATGATGATGATGATGATGAATAAGAACGACTGATAATGATATTGATAATGATGATGATAATGGTAATGATAGTGGTGATGATAACTATAATGGTGACTATAATGATGATGGAGGTGTGACGATAAACAATAAAATAATGATGAAAATTATTATTAGGACGATAATAATAGTGATTATAGCGATGATGGCGATAGTGGTGATGAAGATGATGTGGTGATGATGATGAAGAAGACGAAGATGATGATGGAGATAATGTTGATGGTGATGATGGTGTAATAATCATGATGATAATTTTATAGCCCTTTAAGCAACTTATTTCATTCTTTATTTTATCCACATAATTTTGGGATTGTTGTTTTGTCTTTTTCATTGTTTGTGCCCATGCAGAAAACGAATCAGCAGTGCTATATCTGTGACCAATAGTATTGATTTATCGAGACACGTGTCATCTAACGCCCGTATGTTGATGAGTGCGGACGAGGATGATTCAGGGTAGGTAGTTATACAATTTACATACTTAGGTAACTGTCTCTTAT